ACCCATGTAGCCTCCCTAAGTGTGCAAACAAAGGTAAGGAAGTAATAAGGATGAAAGGAAAAAATAGCATAGAGAAGAGAGGTGATAATAAGTATTTAAGAAAAGTGGGACCAGAAAAAAAAGGGAGAAGGAATTCGTATCATGCTTGAAGGAAGCACTGTAGTAAGCATTGATCAGAAAAGCATTGTACCAGGAAAATATATGCCAAAGAGACTTCAAACTAACTGTAAGATATAAATTCCAGAGTGGCACAGACAGAAGGGACGCGCACATCTTCAGTGTAGCGGGTCTGGCTCACCACCGCCTTACGCATGACCTGGGCTACATCAACCAAGCCATTCTGGTGTCAGGAGAGAGTGGCGCTGGCAAGGTAAGGAGGTAGCCTGAGGTTTTGGGAGGAGGCAGAGACATAGTGGGTGTATATTTTGTCTTTGCTAGTAACCGTTGGCTATGTCGAATTTGAAATGTATTTATTTAGGAAGTACGATTATTATTATAAATGAGTTGAAAATATAGTGTAGGAGTAATAAGATTATATTTATTATTGTGCTGGAAAAGCATAGTTCCCTTTTGTATACAATTCTGGTTACACGCAACCTTTACTGGTGCTTCTCAGACCGAATCCGCACGGTACATGCTAGAGTACCTGAGCCACATTGAGACCAGCTTTCCCCTAGTTCCGCGGTCTCCCCTAAAAGGCGTTTGGGAGGACAAACAGCCGCAAGACATCCAGGAGCGGATCTTGGCCTCCAACCCCATCCTTGAGGCCTTTGGTAATGCTGCAACCCTACGCAATCATAATTCCAGCAGGTGAGACCCTGAACCTTGCTTTGGCCAAAGTTTAGAATTTGGGGAAAGAAGATAGTTCAAAAGATATATGGAGCTATGGATATTTGGTGTATGATCCATCTTGTATGCGAAAAGATGATTATTATAATTTTCTGTGTGTGAGTGTGCGTGTGTGTGTTTGTGTGTGCGTGCGTGTGAGTTTTATATGAAGATGAGTGCATTTTTTGTTTATTTGTTTTATTGTTGGCTTGTATGTATGTTTCTCTGTCTTTGTTTGTCAACGAGTCTGTATGTCTGTGTAAATGTGTATATTTGTATTTGTTTCCATCGGTGCCCTGTGTCTCTGTGCATTTGTATTTATAGTATATTTGCTACATTCTTTTGTTTGTGTGTGTGTGGGTTTATTGGTGTCATGGATTAGTATTTCCAAGAATTAAGCTTTGTAAGAATACATTCGATGTGTTTCCTAGGTTCGGAAAACTTATCCGCCTGCAGTATGGTGGGCGGCAGCTGCGTGGTGCTGAAATTGACACTTATCTTCTGGAGAAGACTAGAGTCACACATCAGACAGAAAATGAGAGGAACTTTCATATATTTTACCAGGTGGGTGAAGCTGTTGTTAGCATTAAATGATTTAATTTTACCATTGGGGGGGAGGAGGGGGGGAAGGGGGGGGGGCTTTGTACTTGTCGCAAATTGCTTTGAGGAATCATTAGGAGATATTGTGGTCTTAGGCTTAGGAAAATCTTGATGGTGCTTTTATTGGATTGAGAAAGGAATTTTAAAGTGACGAAAATAGATCTCGAGTTGGTTATTATAAATATTGTACCATTTTTATGCATATCATTGTATGTCAGTTAATTTAATCTAGTTATTTGATGGAAGGTTATAAAAAAAAGGTATATTTTAAAATAATGTTTTTGAAACATTACTTAGTAAAATGATTTGATTTGACATGATTTTTATAGGAAATATTTTACAGATAGCAACTGTATACCTGATTTACCAAACATATGAATTACTTAACTTTCTCAGTTCCATAGGGATAAATTCAAGTTATTATTACAAAGTCTTATTAATTTTCCGTTGATACATCAACTAAATGAATAATATGGTTTACATAGATTTGTTGGCCTTGGTAACTTTTTTTTTTAGAAATTATTTAAATCTTTTATTTTTTTCTTAATAGGTTTTAGCTGGCATCAAATCCGGAGACATCGAAGGCTTAAAGGCAGACAGTGGCGACCGGTTTGTCATTGCGCCGAAGGGATATCTCGACTCTGACCTGGCCAATTTGCGGGAAACTCTGCATGCCTTCAAGCAGCTTGATTTTTCTACGTCTCATCAGAAACAGATATTCCAGGTGAATTTTTCTGTGAAACTTTTGGTAAACACAAGCAAATGAAAATCCCTTTTGAATGCACTCATCCTAATTGTACATGTCCTTCTTTTTTTTGTTTTTTGTTTTGTTTTTTAATATATAGATATATGTTATTTAGCATTGTGCTTCAATATGCCATTTCTGAATAAAGAACACGGACACAAGAACACAAACAAATGAAAATCCCTTTTGAACACACTTATCCTAATTGTACATGTCCTTTTTTTTTTTTTTTTTTTTTTTTTTTTTTTTTTTTTATTTATTTATTTATTTTTTAATTTCTTTCTTTCTTTTTAATATATATATATATATATATATATATATATATATATATATATATATATATATATATATATATATATATATATATATATATATATATGTATATATATGGTATTTAACATTGTGCTTTAATATGTCACTTGTGAATAAAGAACATGGACATGATTAAAGAAGATGTTAAAGTGTTTGTGTTATTATCTAATGGGACTGGCTTGGAACTTGCCTTGTCATTTCAGCTGGTCATGGCTCTCCTTCACCTTGGGAATGTGAATTTCGGCCAGGATAAGGAGAACCACAGCTCCTGGACAGTTGATCGCCAGAATGCAGGTGTGCAGAGCCTCCTCGATGTCATTTTTGTGTGATCTAAAAAAAGAATGAGATGATGGAAGTGAAAGCAAATGTAAAGCACTCCAAGGACAGTCACTTTATCCTGCATTATAACAGGGCATTTGAATGAACAGTATATGTATGTATTTAGCTATTCATGTTTATAGTATAAGAAAATTAACTTTTTTTTGGTAGTTATTGAGTTCCATACGATTTCCAGAATGTCTGAAAAGCCTTGAATCTGCCTGCGCGCTCCTTGGATTGGAAGAAGACAAGCTTGTAGATGCTCTAACAATTAGAACGATTAGCGTAGGAACGGCAAGGAGGGTGAGTTCTCTGCTGCGGCACTTAAAGACCTTTATTTCGGCACTGTAGCTTTCCTGTCCATTCCTGGTGGTTGTAGTTGTTGTATGTGGATATTCTGTTTTTTTTTTTATTGTGTTATGTTCATGGTTTTGCTTTTTTGTATTTTGTATTATTTAGTTGCAACATAATTTTTTTTTACTTTCTGCAGTTTCAAAAAATATTTCTGTGCATCAGTATTGTTCTTTAAATGGGGCAGATAGATATAATGTACTTACAGTTTATTATTTATAAAAAAAAAAAAAATAAAAAAATAAAAAACAATGATATTTATTATTATTATTATTATTATTATTATTATTATTATTATTATTATTATTTTTATTTTTATTATCATTATTATTATTAATATTATTATTATTATTATTGTGATTATTATTATGATAATTATTGTTGTTGATATTATTATTCTCATTAATCATTTAATAATTGTCTATTATCATTATTATTGTTATTATTATTATTATTATTATTATTATTATTATCATTATTATTATTATTATTATTATTATTATTATTATCATCATTATTATTATTATTATTATTATTATTATTATTATTATTATTTTTATTTTTATTATTATTATTATTGTATCGCTATTATTATTATTATTATTATTATTATTATTATTATTATTATTATTATTATTATTATTATTATTTTTATTATAATTATTATTATTATTATTATTATTATTATTATTATTATTATTACTATTATTATTATTATTATTATTATTATTATTATTATTATTATTGTATCACTATTATTATTATTATTATCATTATTATTATTATTATTATTATTATTATTATTATTATTATTATTATTATTATCATTATTATTATTATTATTATTATTATTATTATTATTATTATAATAATTATCATCATCATCATTATCATTATTATTATCATTGTTATTATCATTGTTATTATCATTGTTATTATTATTGTTATTATTATTATTGTTATTGTTATTTTTATTATCATTTTCATTTTCATTTTCATTTTCATTTTCATTTTCATTTTCATTTTCATTTTCATTTTCATTTTCATTTTCATTTTCATTTTCATTTTCATTTTCATTTTCATTTTCATTATTATAATTATTATTTATGCATAATCATTTCTTAAACAGATATAGACTCCCCAAATTCCTGGTATTGATTCAGATTCCTTGTTTAACTGTCAGTTTTTATCAGTTCTTATCAGTATATTTTGCAAGACTTTGTTGATATAAAGTCTCTTGGTTCAGCTTTGATAAGGCATCTGATAAGAAAGCTTTGTTGTCTTTATTTATTTATGTTCTTGTTTATTTTTATCTGTATGTCAGTATACTTTATGTATATATGTGTAATAAATACATTGTCTAAATGCACATACACATCACATCACAGAAAATAAAAAGAGGGATTTGTGTTTTGCATTTTTCATGTGTGTGCATGCATGCATACCTACTTCCTTACTTCCCTACTTACTTACCTACCTACGTACCTACCTACCTATCTGTCTATCTATCTATCTACCTACTTACCTACCTAGCTCTCTACCTATTTACTTAACTATTCATTTGCCTACCTACTTACCCACCTCCTTACCAACCTGCCTACCTACCTATCTACCTACTTTGTATGAAGATACATATGTTTGAATATAGTCATATGATTACTGAATCTCTATATGTATTTCTTCTGTTATTATATCCATATCACTTTTATTACTCCAGAGGTCTATCCATCTCGACACATCTGCCTGTATGTCTGCTGTTATTTCCTCATCTTTCTATTCATCTGTTCATCTATTCATATAAACATCACTGATATTTAGAGAAAGATACATTTAGAAGTAGCGTTCATAAATATAGATTCACTACTTTTATGATATTCTCTACCTCCTCAGGTGAGTGTCTTTCACAAGCCCTGCGAAACGGAAGCACAGTGCGTGGAGAGAAGGGATGCCTTGATGCAACTTATATACGCCTCGCTGTTTTCCCACATCGTTGCGTATATCAACACCCAAGTCAGTGCCCACAGGAACTTGTGGTCGCATTTTTTAGGTGAGGTCCCGATGAGTTGTGTATACAAGAGTGATTTATTTGTTGAATTTATGATTTTATTATTATTATTATTATTTTTTTATATGTTTGTTTATTTATTTTTTATTATTATTATTGTTATTATTGTTGTTGTTGTTGCTATTTTTTTTTATTATTATTATTATTATTATTATTATTATTATTATTATTATTATTATTATAGCTATGTTTAATTTCTTCTGTTCATTACCTACTTAATAAATAATTGTATATTAATTCATATGTTTCATATAGTTAGATGTTGTGTGTTTGTTTATTTGCTTATTTCTTTCTTTCTTTATCTATCTGTTAGCGATGTTTTTGTAACAGGAATTCATTAACAGTGGAGTTGCAGAAGTTAACTTTGTTCATTGATGTTTTAATTGATTAATTTCATAATTTTGGTTTGTTTTTGTTTATCTATTTAATATTTTTAAAAATTATTAGAACTAACTTTTTCAGACAGAAACCATATAGTCCTATATTAAGAAATTTTACCCCCAAGAATACCTTATATTTGTGTAAAAATGAAGTGTTCCTTTCCCATGTATATTGCAAGTGCTTTCTGTCAGTCAGCCAAAGTAAATGTAATGCTTTGTTTGTACTGACTGTTTGTGGAAGTTAGTGTCCTGATAACACTCAAGAAAGTACGAATTTCATAAGATTTATTTAGCTTGTGTGTGGCGGGATGTGTTTGTCCATTTAGATGATGCATTCATTTATTTATTTTTATTTTTTTTCAGGTGTATTGGATGTTTATGGTTTTGAGACTTTTGATCAAAATAGTCTAGAGCAGCTGTGTATAAATTATGCAAATGAGAGATTGCAACAGGAATTCATGTATCGATATTTGGCAGCCGAGCACCAGGTACTGTGGGAATGAGCTTTGAGATTTTTCTTTCTCCCTTTCTTTCTTTCTTTCTTTTCTCTTATACTTTTGATGAATTTTAGAGGTACTCTTTGGTGAATAAGATTCTCCAAATTGCTCTGCATCATTACATAAGTTACATTTCTTTTTCTTTTTTTTTTAAAATTATAATGTTATTGATTCACGAGGTTTGTATTTATTTTCATAGCTTTCTATACAGTAAATGAACCCAACAAATTAAGACATAAAGACCTATAGATAAGAATAGATGAACAAGACATAGAAAAGAACAAGACATAGAATAGAACAAGACACAGAATAGAACAAGACACAGAATAGAACAAGACACAGAATAGAACAAGACACAATAGAACAAGACACAGAAAAGAACAAGACATAAAACCTGTAGATTAGCCATTTGTTATCTCTGGTTTCGTTGTCAGGTAAACGAGACAACTTGTAGCATTATTTCCGACAAGGAATTACATTTAATCTTCTACTCTAATGTATAATGTAGAAAATAGTAATGAGAATATTTTATTTTATTTTAAACAAGTTTCTGCTACAGCTTTTTACTTTGCACAAAAGGTAATCTCTTCTCTCGGTGTACGGTTGGTGGAATATGTGATTTGTATATTGCGTCTTTGTAATTGCGTTGATTTCTCTTCCAGGTTTTAAAAGAGGAAGGATTTCTTGATGTCGATGTTCCCTACACAGATAATACAGACTGTGTTGTGGCTCTGGACTCCAACATATCTGTGTTCGCCATTCTGAACGAGGTTAGTGGGGCTCGCAGATGGTGGCGTCAGTAATAGTTCATGATAGTTTTTAGGTTGGTGATTTTATTACTTTTTTTTTTTGCTTGCTTACTTATTTGCTTGTTTATTTACATGTAGGAAGAAGAAGAGATTGGGAACTATGGTTTAGGTTTTTTTAAAGTCATTAGGGAGTTTGGTGCTTGGCCAAGTTATTTTTTTATTATTACTATTATTATTATTATTATTATTATTATTATTATTATTATTATTATTATTATTATTATTATTATTATTATTATTGCTATTATTATTAATTTTAGTAATATTATTTGTATAGTAATGGTACTAATTAGTAAAAAGAATAAAAGCTTTTTACCCAAGAATTTAAAGAAGGGCCAGATTAAAAGAAATGGGAAAAAGGAAATTTCACGTACAGTACATGCTTAGATGAATGAAAGTGAAAGTAGAAAAAGTGCATACAGAGTGATGAAAAAAAGTCAGTGATAGATTTGGGAATTGTGTTAACAGTATGTGGTCTCTGCTCATTATCTATTAGAACACCAGTAATTTAAAAGCTTATTGGTATGCAGGCCAGTTCAAAAGATTCTCTTTACATGCATCAGGCTGTCGTAGCTCCCTTTGTAAGTATATCAAG